GATAGTTCTAACTGCTTAGCTGTGTTTGCCAGGACAGCCAAATTTTGCCAAGAGTTTTGAGTTCATCTCTGTCAACTGGTCACTTCCTAAACTGAGTAAATACTAAACCTTTCCATCAACAGTTGCTTGAATAATCGTTTTCTCTGCCATTCTAACCTCTTGTTGCCACGTTGCCAAAGCTCTTGGGCTTTCTGGAGGAAGTGATGACATGATTGTCTCAGTCACAGAGAAAGCAGTAGCGTTTCCAAATTTCTGATAAACTTTTCCCTTTCCTGGCTTTTTGTGGACTTTCGGTCTGAAACAAATTTATTTGCAACTTTGCTTATTTTTTTTATTGCCTCCCTCTTTTCTCTTCTTTTGCCCTCCACCTCTTGTCTAGTTTTGCCTTCTCCCTCCTTCCTCTTTCGTGCAGGGCTGAGGGGTGATTAGGTCAAACGAGATGGAAGTGGGACTGACGTGTGCCTGTCAGCTTCCCAGGGAGTATTTGCAATTTGTCAATCCAAAAGAATTTCTGCCCTCAGACTACACTTGAGGACGGGGCGTAAAAGGGAAAGGGGAAGGAGCCTGGTTGGGTAATTCTGCAAAGGAGAATCTTCTGCTATTTGCTGTACTGGGTTGACAAACTATTCCTGTAAGAGGCCGTGGAGGGACTATTTTTAATTTTTCTGTGTATTTGGTCTCAATCGCGACTACCCGCCTTCTCACTGTCACAGGAAAGGAGCTGCAGTAGATGTGTAGATGGCCATCAGGGCTGCGTCCCAGTAAAACTTCACTTACAGACACTGAAGTGAGAATTTCACGTCCCAGGATATGACACAGTACTCTTCTCTTGATTTTTTCAACCATTTACAAATGTGAAAACCATGCCTATTTCACGGGCCACACCAAACCAGGCAGAGGGCCAATGTAGCCTGTAGGTTCCAGCTTGTGGATCACTGGCTTGTACTAAGGGTTCAAGATTCCCCTTTATCCCAACCAATCACCTACAAAATAAACAAAGAGCAAACGAACCATGCCACAGGGTTAAAGGAGCTCAGGGAGGGTGTTCTGGGGATGATTTTGTCACCCAGGTAGGTAAGAGTTCTTACTCTTCACGGTGTGAAGGGACGGAGCTGTGTCTGAAGCCTTGTACAGGCTAACGCCTAAGAGAAGGCCAGCCAGCCAGGGTTGCCAGCGCAGTAACAGCAGCACCTGCCAGGCATCCTCACTTCAATCACACCTCCCCTTGATCAAGCACTCCCTGGGTACAGCTCCTCCTCTGGATATTTCTGGTTTTTTTCTTCACTGTCCTGTGCAACGGGGGTGCTTGTACACAGAGTTGCAGAACAACTTGCCAGAGTCACCTAGCTGGGAAGTGACAGAATCAGGAATTGAACCTGGGCCTGGCTGACTCCCCAGGCTATTACCACCCCACCCCCCATCCCTGCTGGCCTCCTCTAGGAAAGATGGCAGACAATCAAAAGCGTGGCTGACTCCATATCAGCATTCTGCCAGAGCCAACCAGAAAGCAAGCCCTACCAGGCCAAACAGGACACAACTTTTGACAATTGGCCAGAACCCATAAGGATCAACAAGTCCTTTCACTGCTGACTCTTTTCATCCCAAGTTAAAGGAGGAGACAAAGAGATATGAAGAGACGGGGCACTTGAATTGGACTCCTGGCTCAGGTGTTCACTACCTGTGTGGCCTTATTTGGTTCACGTAATTCCCTGAGTCCCAGTTCCTTCTATCAAAAAATGAAAAAAATATCCGTAACTGTCCAGCAGGATCAGGAGAATTCAATGAGACGTGGTGCAAGCCACTGGCCTGGTGCTTGTCACAAAGTGGGTACTTGATCAAAGCTGACACTCCTCAAGCAATGACTGTTCACTCATTTTCTGAGCACCTACGAGCAGCGACTATGTGCCAGGCACCATGGAGGCACCGGATAAACAGAGCAGTCACCCAGCTCCGGCCTCCAAGGAGCTGTCAGTGTAATAGAGTAACAGGTGAATCTCAAACACACTGGACCAAATAGCACAGGACCATGTCGGGGCCAGAGCGGGAGCACAATGGGGAAGAAGCGGGTATGTCCAAGTGGACGAGTGAGGGACCTCAACCGGGTTTCAGAGAAGAGGTAACGGAGTTCATATTCCAGTAACTCAAGCCACTCCTGTGCAGTTCCTGTGGCTGACTGCTCACCAACATAAATCTCATCTCATGGAAAAGAAGCAAAACAAAACAAAGAAAAAAAAGTTTCCTAAAAGCACTTATAAAAACATCTATGCAAATTTTAGAAAGCAAAACAGGAAAGTAAATTATAGGCAAGGGCACACACACCTTCCTCCTCAAGTCGTGCGTGCTTGTTGCAGGCACCGATAGAAGTTTCCTGCCAGGATGTTGACCCGAGCGAGAACAGCCTGACTGAGAGCCGTTTGTTCTCCCTGAGTGTCTTTAAAAAGCAACCGATTTCATTTTTTTCACATTCTCTGTGGCCTTGGGAAACACCTCCTATAAAAATACACACATTCCAGAGATTCAGGGAGAAATGATTCCTTCTGGGTCTGAACTGTCCATATGTGACACTGGTTCCCTGCCTTTGAGTTTGAGCACTGAGTTGTTACGTACAGCACATGACAGCGAGAGGGGGCTGGGGGCTGGGGGCTGGCTGCCTGGGTTGAGTCTCATCACCACCACTCACTAGGTATGTGGCCTGGTGGCTCCTGGGGGAGAGAAATGAGATGACGCCTGCCAAGTGAGTACCATGACACCTGGTCCAAGATACGTTCACATTTTCCCGCCAGTTCTCATTTTGGGGGGACATGGGGGAAGGCCACATGGAGGAAGGGCTCAGGCCTGGTGCCCCTTAAGGCTAAGCTCACAGAAGGAAGCTTTGTAATGCAACTGAAAATCAGAAAGAAGTGGTGCCGGGTAATGAAGTCCCAAAGGCAGGGAATAGGAAGGACACGTGACCTGGGGGGATTAGTGGCAGAAGATGGACCAGAAAGGTGATACCTTCAGTGAAAGCCACCAGCGGATAGGATGAAGATGGCCTATCTAGATATGGTAACACTGACTCCTCTGCGGACTTCCAACTCCCCCAGCAGAGCTACGATGCCCCCTCTGGATCGAACAGAAGGAAGGAGTAAAGTTGGGGGTGAGGATGGAGAGAGGAAAGCAAAGCAAATACAACCCGTCACTGATTTGCATGTTCACAGCTTGCTGGTTTTTATCCTCTCTGCCTAGATATCCTTGGGACAGCTGGTATACCCTATTCCAGTGCCCTTATAACCCTGGTGTTTGACCTTCTTTTATTCACCAGATAGTTGTAAGATACCTAGATAATCCTGCTGGAGTCAAACAATAGGAGCCAACCAGTTAGTGGCTGCTAATGCCCCAGACCCAAGTTTCATTTTGTTTCAAACCTACAAGATCATCCAATCTCTCCTAGATCTCTCCAGCAGTATACAGAAAACGTCAAATTATGCCATTTTTGGAGAGGTAGACATTCATGCAAACATATTTGCCTGCTTGAATAGTGGGACCACATGGCACAATACTCAATCCCTGAGAAATACAGCCATGCCCAGGAAATGTTCTGTGAATGGCCGAATGACTGGGGGAACATAAAGTATACAAAAAGGAAAGGGGGAAGCCATAGCTCCTCCCCTGGAGAGCAGGAGCCATGCCTTTGTCCTATCCCAGAGCCTACCGGAAGTGTATGCATGGGATGGTCTGCCAAGGAAGGTCAGTGGAACTGAGCAGAACTTTGGCCAGGAGGAGGGCTGACAGCCCGGGGGTTTGATGCAGGTCGGAAGTCTTCTGGGAGTGACTTTGGAAGCTGTCTAGACAGAAGGGGAGGAAGAACAGAACTGGGATGCTGACTGCAGCTTCAAACTAGGGGAAGTGAGTTTGGGGAAATTTATGTGTGCCGGAAACTGGAGGAGGATCACCACTTCAAAGACCCCAGGCCGTGTCCAGTGTGGCATGGCCTGATGGTGTGGGTGTGACCCACAGCCCCAGTTGTAAAGTCCATTCCTCAGTGACAGTACAGATGAGGCGAAGCATTCTCAGTTGGACTTGGGGGGGGAGAATGAAACCAAGAAGTATCTTGTGTCACTTATACCATGTGAACTGTAGAAAGTCCTAACAACATGGTCTAAATAATGAGAACATGGGGGCCGGCATGGTGACGCAGTGAGCTAAGCTGCTGTCTGCAACGCCAGCATCCCATATCGAAGCACTGGTTCAAGTTCTGGCTGCTCGGCTTCCAGTCCAGCTCCCTGCAAGCGTGCTTGTGAAGCCGCAGAAGGCGGCCCAAGTGCTTGGGCTCTTGCCAACTATGTGAGAGATTGGGATGAAGTTCCAGGCTCCTGGCTTTGGCCTGGCTCAGTCCTGGCTATTGTGGCCATTTGGGGAGTGAACCAGCAGATGGAAGATCTCTGTTTGTATCCCTGTCTCTCTCTCTTTCTGATACTCTGCCTTTCAAATAAACTAAATAAATCTTTTAAAAATGAGACTGTGTGTTTCTGGGGATGCTCACCACTGAGTGTGTGTTAATCAGACAAGACCCCCTTTAAGAGGGATATCAGGGAGGGCAGATGGAGAAAGTGGTGTTAGGAAACAGTGTGGCCCTTGAAAAAGACAGCCGTGTGTTCAGGCGTACCCATGGGAAGTCCGCTGGCTACAGAGCCTTGCAGTGGGGGAGCTGTGTGGGCTGTCATTTCCAACTCCATGTTCTTGGGGGACAATTTGCAAGCCTGAAATGAGAAAGCCAGTGGCTCTTAACCTACCTTAATTGCAATGTGGACAGTGAAAGTCATACAATAAAAAGTAAAAGAACAGCCCTTGACTGGCTATGGAAACTTCATCTTGGAGTATTGGCTTCATAGCATCATTTTTGCTGAGCTTACAGCATAAACATACCCATGGAGATATCTAAAAACTCTGTCAACATCTGATCATGCCCTTCAGGAACTCAGCACTACGGCCCTTTGGTACTGTATCATCTTTTCATAATATGGAGACTAAAGAAAAGCTGGGTTTATTATTCCTTCTATTTGGTGAGTGGACATCTGGGAGCCCTAGGAAGAGCTGGGAGTAATTTCTGGGGAATGAAACACAGCCAACTGAGCTGGAGAAAGCCAAGCGCATCACAGCAAGAGGCAGACTCTGCAAAAAGAAAAGAAAAACAAGTTTTTGGAAAAGAAAATGCAAATAATGTCACAGAAGAGGGACCCTGACTTCATTCATTCCTTGTCACAATCTGTAATTTAAATCACTCTGTGAGTATGGTGCTTAGCTAAAAACTACTGTCGGTGAGGTGGTGGGTGTGAAGTGCGAGGAAATAGGAAATAAGTTGAGAACACAGTCTCTGATATCAAGGGGCTACAATTTAACAAGAGAGGGCAGATAAACAAGATGGAATCTGATTGTTTTCACCATTGGTTAGGGCTTTGTTTCAGAAAGAACTAGAGGATACGAGCCAGTGTGAACAGTAACAGCCAAACAAAAACAATCAGCAATGAGTTATATCACCTTCTTTCTGTGCCAAGGAGTGTCCTCCACTCAATTCCAGAAACAACTATTTGGCATCTATCTTAAAGGAGAATGGTGTAAGGGCAGGAGAGTTGACACATGAGTAAGCCTACTTCTGATTTCACAAAACTTGCTATGTCGGATGGGAATAAAACCAGGTCAGAATAATGAAAGGGCACCGCAGAGCATCATGGGGAAGTGAAGGATGCCCAGTGCCATACGTGTAGCACAGAGAAGGGGAGCCCATTGTGTGGACATGGGAAGACATGTCCATCTGCATGGCAAGAGTGCCATCTGAGTTGGGTCTTGAAAGACACAGAGAGGGGACCAGCACTGTGGCTCAGCAGCTTAACCTGTCACTGCCTGAGATGCTGGCATCCCATATCGGAGTGCCTGGTTCAAGTCCAAGCTACTCTGCTTCCAATCCAGCTCCCTGCTCACGGCATGTGGGAGGCAGCAGAGGATGGCTCAAGTACATGAGCCCCTGCCATACATGTGGGAGACCCAGATGAAGCTCCTGGCTCCTTGCACTTCGGCCTGACCTGGTCTGGCCATTCAGTGAGCAAAACAGTAGAAGGAAGAGCTCTCTCTCTCTCTCTCTCTGTCTCTCCCTCCTTCTCTTAACTCTGCCTTTCAGAAACAAACAACAGCAACAGCAACAAAACACGTGGGGAACTTTGACAGACTGAGAGGGCATGGACATTCCAAGGGAAGATCAGCCATCGAGGGAGAGGCAGGAGGGGGGGACAGAGAGCTGGAAAGGCAGGATGCAGGCAGGTTGAAGATATGGCCACACGGTGCCAAACAGGTGCACCTCGGCCTGAGGGAAAGGAGCGGGCACTGGAGTTTCTCCAACATGGGTTACGGGGAAAGAGGGGAGATGATTTGGCCGGGACATCCAGAAATCCTTTCTCAACTGCCCGTGGGACAAATTGTGGGGAAGAAAGAGTGAGCAAGGAAATTCTTCGTAATAGGGTGGGTGAGAGATAACAGAACAGAATTTTACTTTTTGTCTTACTGAGGATTAGCTTTGACTCTAAAAGTAGCATAAAGCAGCCCCAAAAGACACTCACATAAAATACGGGGTTATTTCTGCTTCATAGCAAGGCCCAGGCTGGTGCGGCAGCTCTGCTCAGCAAAGAAGGCAAAGAGCAGGCGCAGGGTGTTCTTCTGAGGGAAGGTTCCAGAAGCTTCCACATGGTAGCCTGCCCTTGTCTCAGCAGTGAGAACTTGGCAGCAGGCTCACACCCAGCTATGGACGCCAGGAGATGAGTTATCCATGTTCCCAGCCAAACAGCCAGGGGTCTGTTACTGAGGGAGAAGGATGGATGCAGGCAATCCGCTGGCTTCCCCTGAGATAGTCATTCACATCAAAATAGCAAGGATTGGAGCCGACAGCCTCGTAACGGCTGAACATGATTCTCTGGATCTTAATGAAAAGAAACCTTAAAATGAAGTTTCTTAGAATCTTGCCTTAAAAATAATCACCCTTGAGACAAAATAACGTCCTTATCCTCAGATAACACTGAATTTGACTCAAGTGGCTGAGGCCATCCAAGGCGTTGAGATGGTTGGTTTGTCCAGGTCTTCACGACCCTGCCTTAGTAACCATCTCGCACAGCTGTTTACAAAAGGAAAATAAATTCCTCTGTCATCATCGCCCTGTTGAGTTCAGCGGACTGTAACCCATCAGTGTCTGAGCAATATGAAAACTCTGTCCTTACTCAATCGAAACACAGCTCTGCAGTACACTCTCCATTCTTTGGGCTCAGAGCTCAGTCAACTCCCCTGGTGCACTTCCCATCACAGCTGTTCGAGTATCTCTCCCCTCCACGGTCCACCCTACCTACCACTGCCTGAAGAATCTCCTCTTTAAAAATTTTTTGTTTATTTATTTACTTGAGAGAGAGCAAGAGCAAGCGAGTGAGCTCCTACCTGTTGTTTACTCCCCAAATGTCTGCAACAATTGGAGCTGGGCCAGGCTGAAGCTGGGAGCTAAGAATTCAATCCAGGTGTCTCATGTGGGTGGAAGGAACCCAATTACTTGAGCCATTAGCACTGCCTCCCAGGGTCTGACTGGCAGGAAGCTGAAGTCAGGAGCCAGAGGTGGGACCCGAACTCGGGCACTCTGCTATGGGATGTGGGTGTTTTAACCACTAGGCCAAACGTCTTCCCCGGAGCATCTTCTTGAGACACTGATGATGACCTGTAACTGAGTTGGCATGTAATTCGTGATTGCCCAGTGCTCTCGACCTTAAACAGCTCCTTGGTCTGGCCTCCCATATCCTCCAAAATCTCACCCACTATTACTCACTATTAGCATGAGTAAACAAAGCAATGTACCAGCTAGAAAAAATAATTTAAAAATTTGATGTACAAATAAAGCATTATTTATTTCTTAACTTTGTTAGGACAAGTCTATACTGGCCCACTCTCATTCAATCAATATTGATATAGTTTAATCTGGGAAGACCTCAGAATATTATCATCATGTTATTACTACTTTTCTCCTGCTGTTACTGTCCAAAATTCATTCAGCAAATACTTAACCAGTGCCACTGTGGTTGCTGGGGATTCATAAGGCGAAAGTTCCGGTTTTCCTGGCACTTACATTCTAGAGTGGTGGTCCCATCCTGGGAAGAGCCAGTGCCCCAGAAGGCTATGGGTGTTGGGACTTGAGAGGGCAGAGGCAGGAGGTGGTGTTAGTGCGACTCTGTTCCTCACCCCCTCCTGTCCACACTGGACACTGCAGCCAACCCTTCCCCTCCCCTTTCCTCACCCGGTCTTACCCGACACTGCTCTCACCTCCACACCTCGGGTCTTTGCCTTTGCTGCTCCGCCCTTTCTGGCGTGAAGATAATAATTATTGTGACAGCTGTTAAGGTCTTGGGACACCAAGCGTGGGCTCCAACTGTCGCTAAAGGGCATCCACCTCTCCAGAGGCCGGTGTGCGTTCCTTCTGCTGCCCTGGATGCTAGAGTGCTGCTTGCATCCGGTGTCCATTCTACTCCCCGTCTCAGCACTGAGCAGCCAGACGTTTCCGGTTTGGCCTCCCTCGTCCTCCCACGGGCTCCCAGAGCCGCTCGGTCAGCACAAGGCCCTGGTGCCCGTCGCAAGTCTTGGTCAGACACGTTTCCTGCAGCGGCGGCTGCCCCGGCTCCCCTTTGCCCTGCTCTGGGAGAATTCGGGAGCCAGCGCGAGTCTGCCTGGGGTCGCAGCCCTGTCCTACCTGTGAGGAAGTGGGCTTCCGGGACAAGGCCCTTCCTGTGGAGACCCCAGCTTGGTCCAGTTTCCCAGACCTTCCCAGTGTCCTCCTCAGTCCTGCTCCCCTGCTCCCCAGCAGGACTCAGCTGGACCTCTTCCCTTCTGGGGGCAAAACACGGCAACACGGAGGCTCAGGTCAGACGGCCATTTGCAAAGTCTCACTTCCGGCTTGTGAGAGTCGGAAGTCAGCCCCTAGGGTCAGGTTCTGCTCGGAAGTTCCGGGCATCTTGAGGTCCGAGGAGACCCCCAGCAGAGCGAACATCTGTTGCTTTCCCCAAGTTCTTAGGGTTCACTTTCTGAGCTTGATGTGGACACAGAACAGCAGCTTTACCGTACCTGCCATCGCAGGTGTCTCCAAGTTCCCTTTCTACACACCACGGGCCCAGCCTTGTACCACACCTTGAAAGGAACTCACATATTTATTTAGTGTTGCTACTCTTGTTACTCTTGCCTTTGTATTATATGTCTATTACTCTTCCCTTCCCCCCTCCTTATTCCTATCAACTAGGTCTCTAATTTTAATTTATAGGCTGCCGAAGTGAGCACAATTAGGCACAATTAGGTCTTTTTTTTTTTTTTTTTTTTTTTTTTTTAAGATTCATCCATCTATTTGAGAGGCAGAGCTACAGAGAGGCAGAGGCAGAGAGAGGGAGAGAGGTCTTCCATCTGCTGGTTCACTCCCCAAGCGACAGCAATGGCCAGAGCTGAGATGATCCGAAGCCAGGAGACAGGAGCTTCTTCCAGGTCTCCTATGTGGGTGCAGGGGCCCAAGGACTTGGGCCATCTTCCTCTGCTTTCCCAGGTCATAGCAGAGAGCTGGATTGGAAGTGGAGCAGCAAGGACTCCAACAGGCACCCACATGGGATGCTGGCACTGCAGGCAGTGGCCTTACCCACTAAGCCACAGTTAGGTCTCTTAACAGTTAGAGATTTGTGAGTAAAAATGAATTATTTATAGCTACTTTAATATTCAATTTATTAAAATTTGTTTTTTGTTCAAGTTTAACCTATATTTTATTTGTAAATATAGTGATTTTCATATAAAAATGACAATTGCTTTTCCTTTTTGTTTGATTAGTGTTCAACTTATAAATATAAAACAATCAAATTTCTTCAAACAACTGATCACCTTTATACATGTAGTTAAATTTCCTAAAAATTGTTTAACTACCTTTAAGATATTTAATAAGTTTGATTTTCTGGGGGCTGGTGCTGTGGTATTAGCGGGTAAAGCCACCGCCTGCAATGCTGGCATCCCATATGGGTGGTGGTTGAGTCCCTGCTGCTCCACTTCTGATCCAGCTCTCTGCTATGGCTTGGAAAAACAGTGGAAAATGGCCCATGTCCTTGGGCCCCTGCACCCACGTGGGAGACCCAAAAGAAGCTCCAGGCTCCTGGCTTTGGATCGACCCAGCTCTGGCCATTGCAGCCATCTGGGGAGTGAATCAGCAGATGGAAGATCTGTCTCCTTCTCTCTTTGCCTCTGCCTCTCTGTAATTCTGCCTTTCAAACAAATAAATACATCTTTTAAAAAAATTTGATTTTCTGAAACACTTCAAATGCCTTATGGGACACCATTTATAAACCTATCAATAATATCTTTCCACAGCTCAGTTAACTATTAGAATAAAACTAGCTTAGAAATGTAGTAAATGGGACCTGCACTGTGGCATGTAGCAAGTAAAGCCACTGCCTGCAGTGCCAGCATCCCATATGGGCACCAGTTCAAGTCCCAGCTGCTCTACTTCCAATCCAGCTCTCTACCATGGCCTGGGATAGCAGAAGAAGATGGCCCAAGTCCTTGGGCCCCTGCACCCACGTGGGAGACCTGGAAGAAGCTCTTGTCTCCTGGCTTCGGATCATCTCAGCTCTGGCCATTGCTGTCGCTTGGGGAGTGAACCAGCAGATGAAAGACCTCTCTCTCTCTCTCTCTGCCTCTGCCTCTGTGTAACTCTTTCAAATAAATAAAATAAATCCTTAAAAAATGTAGTAAGTTAGATTTCCTGGAACATTCAAATACTATTTAAGAATGTATTCAATTATTTTAAAATTTTCAAGAGAAAAATAACAAATTCACAAATTGAGTGTTGATTTTTCATTTCAAAATAAAATCTGAAGGCTAATGTGTCAGATTCTTTTAAACAACGCAAGCTTCTTAAATAACAAATGCAGACTGATCACGATGATTAGAAAACTCACTCCCAAAACTTAACACGAAAGTAACAACACAGGGAATGGTGCTGACTTCCCCACATGTTTCCTACACCTTTCTGTGGAAACAGAGTCATTTTTACTAGTCAATGGGAACAGGAAGTCATTTCAAGCAGGCTGGAGTTACGTGGAACTGGGACCCAGATCATCAATGAGATATGTCAAACCAGGAGTTTTTCCAGGGTGGTCTTATCTGAGCAACAGGTTAACACTGAGCTTATTTTTATAGTTGATATTGCCTTCTGTGTCCCCAGAGTGTCTTTCAAACTTCATCTGTATCCTATTTTTATCACGGCCTCTTTCGCTTTTTAACACGTCATTTGGGCAGATAGAATTCTCCCTTGGGGTGTAGCCTATCTTTTCATTAATTGGATTTTCCATCCCTCTTCAGGCTGTAACACTCTCTTTGGCTCTTTCTTTATTATCTCTGTTCACTGCTGAGCTGACCGGTCTCCAAAAAAACTGCTTCCCCAGCTTGCTGGGCACCAAGATAAGACTTCATTTCCCAGCTTCCTTTGCAGTCAGTGTGGCCATGTGACTGAGTTTGGGCCCATGAAATTTGGGAATCCTGGACCCTCCCCCCTGGGCTCCATCCTCTATGGTCTTCCCTCTTCTGCAGCCGTGATGCAGAGCAGCAGGGCCATCTTGGCAGCTACCTATAAACAAAGGTGGAGCCACAATCCAGAAGGGAGTCTGGGTCGGCCGACAGCTATAGGCTGATCAGAAACACCCATTTGGGACTTCACTTGAGTGAAAAGTAAACTTCAATTGTGATGTGAAAGCAATTATATATTTTTGGGGATTGATTACTTTAATTAAAATGACCACTAACCTCTATTTATTGTCATTGTAGCAAAAATCCCAAAAGTTGGTGATAACAAAAATGAAATGTTGAAAATTCAGATGATGTTAGTTAACATTGCATAGTGTGAGTCCAGGCTTGCAAACCTCCAGTGAAGCCGGCAGTCACCCTGGGCCATCCCATGAAAACCTGACTTCATCAACTCAGGCTTTGCTAATTGGAAACAACACCCTGGGAGGTGCTCATGTACCTCGTACACCTTTCTAGGTAACTTTTTATAAAGAGCACCTAATGAAATAAAATCCCTTTGACAATTCAATCACCTACAATAGTCATGAGATAAAAATCAATGGATTGCTCAGGTACAAATATTTGTAGTTCTATGGTCAGACCAAGCATTTTCCCCCATGAGTCCTGATAAACAGGAAGCTGCATAATACAATGGCCCATATCCTTAGACAAAACAATGTCAACTACCCAGAGTCCTAAAGAGCCCCCAGACAGATGCAGAAGGAATTAATTGAAAAAAATCTGAAGTTTTTTTTTCTTCAAAAAACTATAAGTCTCTTTCAACAGTGTCAAGGTATGGCTGTGTAATGAAGATCAATGATAAGACTTCCATTTTCTTTTCTACTTATTTCACACTCTGTGGTTGCAAAAGGTTATGGGTTTCCAATAGCATTGTCTTATTCACCAAGGAGCCAATCAGCCGGCAGTTTTGGACCTACAGGTACAGTCACAGTTTCCCCTTCCTTCTCCCACACCGACCCATTCTGTCATGCGTGGGTTGCAGCTGCCCTAGGAAACATCTTTATCTAAATGGAGCAACACATATTAGATTTCGAAAATGAAACTTTACAAATATATTTCTTTCAAAATGAATTTTGTAAATTATTGTCACAAAAGTTAAAACTGAAGCCTCTATGCCGTTTCCATGAAAAGGACCTGTGAGGTTAATAAAAGCAGACTTGAGAAGGTACCCAGGAGAGAGGGAAAGCGGGAAGTGGTTGGTTTTTAGGTAGAAGCATGAAACACTAGTAAGGCAGGGATGGATATGTAATGAAGTTCTTCTCCTCAGTTATTTCTATGAGCAGTAGCCAAAATCCAGCAAAAGGGGACTTTAACAAATAGGAATTCACATTTAGCAAACAACGTGAAGTCCAGATCCAGGTAGTCTATAGTGTTGCTTCATGTAATGTCCAGGTGATGGCCATTCCTTACCACAGCAAGATAATTCCTTCAAAAAGGCTGCCATAGCTCCAGGCATCACATCATTTTCCAGGAAGAGAGGAGAAGGCCAGGCTCACATTGCTAACATTTTCTTCTTCATTGGAAAAACAAAGGCTTTCTAAGTGGACCTGTACCACATGGCTTTTCCTAGATGCAAGAGAAGATGAGAAAGAGAGTATTTAAGGAATGGAGACAGGCTGACGAGAATGGAGAATGGGGAAGGCACAGCTGGTGCGTTAGCCCAGTAGCAGTGGGTGCTCCCAGAGCAGCTGGCTGATCTCTCATGGCCAAATCATGCTGTATGACATGGCATCCTTAGTGCTTGTTCGCATAAGAATCACAACTAGCCCTTCACGCTTCGGAAGAAAACAAAGCCAGGCTGTCCCATTCACTGTCTGTCCCGCCATCCAGGAGGAACTACTCACTCTCGGCTTATCTCCTTCCTCCCCACCTCAAACATTCAAACCCTCACAATGAAATCCCACCTATCCTACTCGCCAGGAAAATGTGCCAAATTACCCATTAATCGGAATGAGGAAACATCTCCCGATTTCCAAACATTTTATCTGTTCCAAGGAAGAACCTTAAAAATCAGGTAGCAAAGGAATTTCTAAAATGTTAACAAACCCAAGGGGAAAAAAAAGTCAAACAAAACCCCCAAATTCTGAATGCTTTGTGCAATCTGTTGAGAGGATCTGAGATCGAAAAAATAAAGCCATGGCTACATCCCTTTGTACCACGAGAGAGGAAAGCACCCTGTGTATAACGGAAGCACTGCTTTTCCAGCTACAGATCTTGCACGGTTTTTTGGGGGGTAGGGGGAGGCGGTAGGAGGTATTTTGCACTATAAGAAAAGCACAGCTACTCCCTGCCCCAAAAGAGCAGTGGCAGCCCACCCCCGCCTCGGGCCCCCAGCTCTGAGCATTCCAGCACAGCGGGAATTATACTGCGCTGTAGCTGAGCGGGCCTGGCTTACCTCCAGGCTCACGCTGCGTGTGCTGGGGCGTGTGGCACAGTCACCACCTGGGCTCGCTCGGCAAGAGGGCGTCTGATAGCCACCGGCTGCCTTCGGTTACAGGCGAGCGGAATTTCCCTTCTGTGATATCGTAGTATCGTTCATCAAAGGAATTCATCACAGAACACACCGCCAGCATGATGACACCCCTGGGTGCTGTTCCTCCCAAAGCTATGACAAGGGGCCCTAATATCTGGGTTTGAAAGTGGGCCCCTCTGTGAAGGGGGCCTCTCGGGCTGAATGGGGGGCGGGGGGAAGCGC